CTTCATAAGAACATTAGAAGAGCCCTGCTGGATCAGACCAGTGAGGGTCCATCTAGTCCAGCATCCTGTCTCACACAGTGGCCAACCAGTTCCTCTGGAGGGCCAACAACAGGGCATAGAGGCCAAGGCCTTCATAAGAACATCAGAAGAGCCCTGCTGGATCAGACCAGTAGTACATCTAGTCCAGCATCCTGCCTCACACAGTGGCCAGCCAGTTCCTCTGGAGGGCCAACAACAGGGCAGAGAGGCCGAGGCCTTCATAAGGACATGAGAAGAGCCCTGCTGGATCCGACCAGTAGTACATCTAGTCCAGCATCCTGCCTCACACAGTAGCCAGCCAGTTCCTCTGGAGGGCCAACAACGGGGCAGCGAGGCTGAGGGCTTCCCCTGATGTTGGCTCCTGGCACTGAGATTCGGAGATTGACTGCCTCTGCACATGGAGGTCCCTTTTCATCCTTTCTCCAAGAATCTGTCTAATCCCGTTTTAAAGCAGTCTATGCCTGTGGCCTTCATTACCTCCTCTGGGAGCAGTTTCCACATTTTAATCACTTGCTGTGTAAAGAAGTATTTCCTTTTTTCCGTTCTGAATCCGTTCCACATGTTCCTGTGCAGGTATCCAAAACTGGATGGAGCAGCAGTCGAAGGACAGGGATGCTCAGTCCTTTGCCTGTGCGCCGTTTTCCCCATCAGCGCCATACTCACACACACACACCCCGAGCTTCTTTTCTCCCCTCACAGAGTATGGTACATGAACTGGATACCCTTTTCCTGCCATCCATGGGAAATTAGCTGAAAGTTGGCGAAGTTTTGCACTGCCTGGATCACATTGAGAGGCTCCAGTTTTAAACACCCGCTTCCCCAATCGTATCTAGTTGGCGCCTGTTCATCTTACAGGGCAATCCAAAGCAGTCAGACTCCCAAACCCACTGACTTCAGCCTTTTAAAGCAAGAACACTGGAAACTTCGTAACAAAATGTGACCGAAAGCACTAATTTATTTATTTATTTATTTACATTCAATTTATATACCGCTCTAACCTTTTTGGGCAGGTCTCTGAGCAGTTTACATATATCTTCCAAATTCACCTAACTAGGGCCACATTGTTGATGGGTGGTGTCTGCCTACCAGCACCCAGGGCTTGTTGTTCTGGCTTCCTCTAGCGGCTTCAGGTATCGGCGTCCTTCTGGTGCCCTTTTTTCTGGAAAAAGGGAACTGAACTTTTTACAGCCAAGATTTATTGTCAAAGACTCACTACCGAGTCATTGGAAACTTCTCCGCTGCCCAGTAAAATAGCTCTGATGAAGACGCAGCTTCATAAAACAACATGGTAGGGACCAAACCAGAAAGCCGTCGATCCGCAACACAAACCGATTCTGTTCCACACTTTAGGAATAAAGACATTTGCTTTGCACAGGGCGCTCCGCAAGAGCTGAATTTTGAAAAGCTGCTGGAACAAACCTGGCAGGTTCTACTAATCTCAGAGTTATGAGAAGATGCATCTAGTGCTTTCACAGCAAGCAGCACATCCGGCACACATGCTGGGTATATATTTAAACTGGTATCTTCTATTCGGCCTCCTTTGGTCAGAGTATATTTTATTTAAATATTTATTTATTTTGACTTACATCCTGCCCTCCCAACATAGTAGGCTCAGGGTGGGTATTGGGTAACAACAGATATATCTGCAATGAATGCAGATTTACAAAGTAGATATATCATAAAAACACATTAAAACCAATAAAAAAACATTAACATCACTCAATAAATTCAGCAACAGATACAAGAAGGACCCCTACTGGCCAAGGTAAAACAGTTAAAACAACAATATGCCTCAACAGATGATGGTGTGGTCCCAGCCAATGTTCCCTCTAAGCTGTGGAGTCTTCTGAGCAAGAATTCTACTTTGTGAGCTATTGGCATTAAAGTTGTGAGCGAGCAATTTGGCCACTACATAAGTTAGTTTGCCCTGGAGCCCTCCTTCCTGAGCTAAGACAAAAATGTGTGAGCTGGAGGCTAAAAAACTGTGAGCTAGCTCACACTAACTCAGCTTAGAGGGAACACTGGTCCCAGCCCAGCTTCTAGGATCTGTGATCACTGGAAGGGAGGCCAAATCGAAGTGGATGCCCGCTGTCTCAACTAAAGGCCCGGTAGAAGAGCTCCGTCTTGCAGTTCCCTGTTGAACTGCAATAAGTCCTGCGGGGCCCTGATCTCATAAGGCAGCTCATTCAAACAGGCAGGGGGCCAGAACCAAAAAGGCCCTGGCCCTAGTTGAGGCAAGCTGGACATCCCTAGGGCCAGGAACTACCAGGAGATGCTGGTTTATAGAACTGGGGTTGGGGGCGCGAGATCCTTCTGGCTTTGCGGTTTTCATGGCAAGAAGACAAATCACGTGACAATTGACATTTCAGGCAACCAAAGTACCAAGAAAGCACAAGTCAGACTAACTCACAATTTCCATCACCCACAAACGAAGAAGGGAGCTCACGAGGGCTAGAGATGTCTGGGGCAAAACATGGAGCTGTTTGTGTCCGTTCACCCTTCGTTGGCAAGGGCAAGCCGTAGACTCAGAATCTCCTTACCTGTATGACTTTTTAATGTCATCTGAGGTGGCGTTCTTGTCCAGCCCTAGCACATGGTACAGCGTTTCTCCGGAGGTAGACAGTGAACGTTGCCTCTGGTCTCCCATCTTGAGCTAACCTGAGAAAGAGAGAAACGTTCAGAAGATGGAAGGCATCGGTGGCTAACCCAGGAAGGACTGTACAGTGCCAGCAGAGTAACCTCATGAGGGCGTTATAAGGACAAAGGGGTTCGGCACTAAATACGCCACTTGGAGTTTCCTAGAAGTCAGAGCTAAAAATATCATAAAAAGTAGGAAGTTTGATAGCTTAAGTTTCCCTGCCCCCCTTTTTATTGAGATATATGTCTAGGTGATAAAGGTAGCAAGCAGTTACTAGATCAGTTTGATCTGTTTGACAGTCCTAGCTGTCATGCTAGTGATTAAGTGATTACAGCCAGGTGTTATACTAGCAGGTGTTCTCTATCAGGCATTGTTAGAGTAGGTAATTAATTCACCTTGTTAGTGATTGGTTGGGTTTAGTATATTAGCTATCAGCTTGATAAGCGGGGCGGGGACTTAGTCTCTCAAGCTAAGGCATGGTATGCTGTATGATAGCCTGTATATCTCTGTGTATATATTCACCATTATATCTATATAAACTTTCTATGCACTTTCATCACCAGTTGGTCTCCAGCTTCTTATTTACTACACCCAATACTTTTATGATATCTTTTAGCACTACTAGCGTTCAGATTCTGCGATCTCTGTGGTACCTACCTGATTAGCACCAACTGCATAATTTATTGTTTGTTTATTTCATATAAGATTTTTGTCCCACCCTTTCTGCTCCCCCATAGGGCCACTACAGTGGCTGATGAATTAAAAAAGTTAAAATATTATTTTCAAAGCCCCTAAAACCAACACATTAACATGTTGTTGAAACAAGTTAAAACCACAGCTTGAAATAAGTACAAAAGATAAAAACAGTAAAATATTAGGAAGGAAGGCAGAATTACCTAAGGAAACACATGAACGAGGGACGAAATTCACAGCCGCCTTTCCCCCACTCCCCTAGTGGTGAGTGTTCCCTCTAAGCTGAGTTAAGAGGAGAGGAGATTGGATTTATACCCTGCACAACACACAGCTCCTCAGCCTTAGGTTTTCCAGGTCCTAGAATAGTACCGTATCACAGCACGTGAACTAACCCCTCTTGGATGATGCCGTGACTAACTCATTCAGTCCTCACATACGTATTCTCAACAAGAAGGACTATACATCCTCTGTATTCTTGACTCCAGCTTCCCGCAATTAGAAAAGACACCTTTAGACCAGTGTTCCCTCTAAGCTGAGTTAGTGTGAGCTAGCTCGCAGTTTTTTAGCCTCCAGCTCACACATTTTTGTCTTAGCTCAGGAAAGATGGCTCCAGAGCAAACTAATTTTATGCAGCAGCCAAACTACCTGCTCACAACTTTAATGCCAGTAGCTCACAAAGTAGAATTTCTGCTCACAGGACTCCACAGCTTAGAGGGAACATTGCTTTAGACATTTATCTGCTAATCTGACACACCTATTACTTTACAACTGTTGACCTTATAACCTTAGCTTCTTATTTTTGACTTTGCATATCTTAAACATCATCATGTTACATGTTAATTTGCTGTTCAGCCCCTGTCTATAAATTCGAACCTTACCTACCATTCCAATGTATTTGAAAAAGTGTGCCCTGCACACGGAAGCTCATACCTTGAATAAACCTTTCTTGGTCTTAAAGGTGCCGCCGGACTCTAAATTTGTTCTACTGCTTCAGACCAACACAGCTGACCACCTGCATCACATTTCATGGCCCAGTTATGGGAAATGCCAAAGTGAAACTGAAAGCTGAAGGTCGCGATGAGCATGAGTATTTGTATCACATGCTTTTTCTTTCTGAAAGATGTGAAACTCAGACTCTACCAAGCATGACCCTGGTGAAAGAGGACACGTAAGGGCAGCTAGTGTTCCCTCTAAGCTGAGTTACTCTGAGCTAGCTCACAGTTTTTTAGCCTCCGGCTCACAGATTTTTGTCTTAGCTCAGGAAAGATGGCTCCAGAGCAGACTAATTGATGCAGGAGCCAAATCGCTCGCTCACAACTTTCATGCCAGTAGCTCACAAAGGAGAATTTTTCCTCACAGGACTCCACAGCTTAGAGGGAGCATTGAGTGCAGCTTCCAATGGCTCTTAAGCAGGGCTTTTTTTCCTGGGGGAACATGCTGGAACAGAGACTCGGAACCTCTTTGACAAAATGCATTTTTTAAGATGTTTAAAAGTTCGTGGCTTTTCAGTATACGGATTGAAAACATCATTCCCCTCTTGAGAGTTCCAGCAACTCTTTTTCCAAAAATTAATTTTTAAAAAGCCCTGCTCTTCAGAGTTCTTCAGCCTTGAAGAGTTCTGTTCTTCTTCACCTTCCCAGTAGCAATGAACTCCACAAAACTTGTTATCGTGGATTTTCCGGGCTGCGTGGCCGTGGTCTTGGCATTGTAGGACCCGACGTTTCGCCAGCAGCTGTGACTGGCATCCTGAGGATGCCAGTCACAGCTGCTGGCGGAACGTCAGGTCCTAC